AAAAACCCAGGTAGCACCTGATGTACCAGTCTCATAAATCTAGAATCCCTCCGACAGATGCAGTAAATCTAATGTTCTCTGCTCCAGGGGTCACTTCTTTTTAATCTTAATAAACAAAATTAACATATTATCCTGCACACGTCTCTACGTGGTTTCGTCCCGTCAGTAAACTGATGCTTTCAACACGTGTGCAGTTGTGAGTGTTCCGCGACTCTCACCCGTCCTGTCGTAGGACTCGTGGCAGGTGTGCGCGATCTCGGCCCCCAGCTGCAGGTAGTGCCCGGCCTTGTCGTCGGGTGAACCGTCAGCGCCCAACGCAAACATGCCGCCGGCGAAGCACGCCAGGTGGCCCATCTTCCTCTCCAGGTGGCCGTTCTTCCACTCACCAATGAATGTCAGACCGCCGTTGGATTTGCGTATCAGGTGGCGTTCGATGGCCTGGAGGGGAGAGAGAGAGGGGGTAAGTGTGTGAGTGTGTGTGTGTGTGTGTGTGTGTGTGTGTGTGTGTGTGTAAACGTTGCGGAAACCGCAAATGATGAATGTAGGAGATTTATGGATCTGGAGACGAGTGAGGACGTTTGTGGGAAGACAGAAACTGAAAAAGTGGAAATAAGCAGCATAATTTCAGTGAGGACGTGGACGGAGGTTGCAGATGGAATATTAAGCGTGTGGGTGAATTTGTATGCAGGTAGAGAGAGAAACACAGCGATGGATAGAATTTATGTGTTTGAGTAAGAATGTGGACGTTTGAAGAGATAAGTTCACGGAAGGGTTAATGACAGTGTTTATTTATTACAGCGGGAACGTGGACAGAGGTAATGAATGGAATTTTAAGTGTTTGTGAACGTATTAATGTGGGGCGTTGATATTGAGCGTGCGTACGCGTGGGACGGGAAGGGAACAGAATACAACAGAAGACGTGGTGAGGGGAGGATTTAAAACCGCGTCACATCGCTCGCCCTGCAGCATCTGCTCTGCTCACGGACTCTCACTGACTGACAGATTTCTGCTTCAGCCACGAAACAAACACATCTGTTTCCTGACAGATCCACTCTTACCGTCTTTGAAAAAAAACTAAACGGATGTCCCTCGTTTGTACGGACGAGCACTGGAAACACAAACTAAATGACTGCTCCGAGAGCTGTTACTGTTCTCTGAGATTTATGACGTTATTACTTCCACCAAAGAGATTGTTTTCATTGCCGTTTGTATTTCTGTTGGCAGGATTAGACAGAACTACTAAAGTGGTCTAAGTTAAATTTGGTGATGAAGTGTGTTATGGACCAAGGACGACCCATTAAATTCAAGGTAAATGTATAAGTTGGTCCTTAAAGTGGTGGTTTGTCTATTTTACAGCGTTTTAAAGTAGTTCTTTAATTCACCGGAATGATAAATGACATCAGCTGACGAGTGATGAGCTTCACTTTGTTTGTCAAATCTTCGCTTTAGTTTGTACCTCGATGGCGTCGTCATACGTCTTCCGAGCCTCCGTATCCGTCTTGTCTGACATGAGCCACGCCTTCAGCAGGTATTCGTAAAAACTGTCCCCGAGTCCTCCGACTGAGGTGTGATCTGCACAGAGAGAGGCGGAGGAGGGGGGGGGGAGAGAAAAACTGTTGAAAACAGCCGGGTAAAAGGACACAAAGGGAGAGAGAGTGACAAAGCAGGAAACAGCGAGACGCAGACAAAACGAGAGAGTCAAAGTGAATTATTCATTTTTCGACTGTGCCTCAAAGTCCTTGGCAGAGCACAACATATGGCATGAAAAGCATCTATCCGAGCCCTCTGTCTTTTTTCTCCTCGACACCCACAATATATTGGCAGCGTGTTTCCTCTCATTTCCTGTTTTGTTTACCCTGTCCCTGATAAGCTCACATTTCAATGTCCCCAGTCGTCCCCTTGGAAGTTTGCACAGCTTTCATGTCTGTCCTAATTTGCAGGACACCGCATAGTGAAGATGGGACATTAGCCAGCCGCCGCTAACAAAACAAACTCTTTTCTCCGGAGGGTTTTTTCTGAGTCCACTTCGTTTTTAATGGCACTTTGGTTCATTTCAGGGGCGATTTCACTGACCTTGTTTAAGAGAAGACAATAACACAGCTAAGATTCATCATCTCATCGTGACAGTGAAGGTAAGAAAATTATGAATACAGTTTGTGTAGATACAAACACACAAGCACTATAGTTTAAGGGATATCCAGTGATTCAACTGTAAATGGTCTTTTCATCATAACCAGTGATGGAGACGATTAAAGCAACATTATGAAACGTATTAACTTAAGTTAGCAGCTTTATTAAAACGAGTTCGAAGGTTCAGTGAGTGTGAACGTGGAGAACGTTTCCTCCTTCACTCCCCGAACGTCTGTTCTCTGTAACTCTGAAACGAAGGAATATGCAAAGACGGAACGAGACAGACGAGGAATCGATGGACGGAGTCAATCGAGGGCGGGTGCACGTGTGTATCACACGGGTACGTCATGTGTACGTCATGTGTACATAAAAGAACATTTTGTACAAACTCATTTTAAATACACACATTGAGAGATGGCTTGTTACCAATTCACTCGCAAATGGAAATAAGATCTGAAGTCATGTTCACCATGTTGTTCTAGGGTCGTGTAAATAAGCAGATTCAGTCGAATTCAATCTCTTTATTGTGACTGAGCCAACTACAGGTGCGACACTGACTTATAGTGTTTACAGGTCTTTAGCGCTGCTGCTATCAAGTGTTTTATGATATAACAACATTAGCACTGCGGCCCTCACACTGACCGAGACTTCCTCTGGGGTGTTGTGGGTCTTATTTGGCAGTTAATGATGCATATGTATAAAATTAAATGTTTTCATCAACGTAGCATGAATACTGTCGATTCACGAATTCCCCCGCTTCGGCCGTGGCACTCATGCTATTCTATCCTGAGTGGGAAACAACCAGCAGACCTGGATGGAAGCTGGCGAATGTAGTTCTGCTCTGCCAGCCTCTGGCAGGTCACCAGTTCTTTTCTGGTCCTCTTCCACGCGACACGATAAAAGAGAAAACCCTCTTTTGTAGGTCGACTGCGGCAGCGTTTCACCTTTGTTCCCTTGGCTGGAAAAGAACGTGTTTGTGGAGTTCGTCCTGGTGAACATTCTCTGACCAGCTATTCATGAAAACATCCTGCACACCGTCAACGTGCCTCCGTGTAAAATGCTCTTTGCGTATGTCTCCTCTGACTTAACGAGTCATTTCTGCAGTAAAATATGTGAAAACAACAATGAAGCAAAACTATTTAATTAAAACACAAAACCCTGATGTGGCAAACGAAGCACAAGACACAAATAAGTGAAAGTAAAACACAGCATCAGACCGGAGGAAAGACGGAACCACCCACAGCTCACAGAGGGACGGAATGTAAGGAGGAAAATTACAAGACAGCGAGATTAAAATACTAATTAGCATTAGTGCTCCTTTAAATGTGCGGTCTGATGTTTTTTTGTATTTTGTTTCACGATCACCTCTCACAATATTTCAACTTCGCATCCACCCACACATGCACTCCCACTTTCCTGCCGATGACAAAGCTCAGGGTCAGACAGGGAGTGCCTGTCAATCAAAGCCAGGTTTCTAACCCACACTCAAGCGTCGACACAGACGCATGTACACAACGAGACGTCGGCACAAAGGTTCAAACACAATTTGAAACCAAGGGCACAAGCTGCTAGAAATATCTGTATGTTATCGAGACGGTTTAATTTATGTCTCCTCTGTTCAACTCACTCAAGAACACGACGATGTTTCAGGCTCTACTACGTTTAATTTACAGCCGACGTGTCCGAGTGTAAGATATAACCCACCATAATTAACGACTGATTCAAGTTACTGGAGAGTAAAGAAATTAATTAAAAATTTAAAAAGTCGCTTGATTTCCTTTTTTCAGTAAATCTGGAGTCGGGTTCACTGCCGGCTGTTTTCCCAGCTGGAAAAAAAAAAGAAGAAAAGAGGCCAATGAAGCTTTGTAGATGGAATTAAGAATAAAGAAAATGTTCCTGTGCCAGAAAAACATCAAACTACTTCAAATGAGCCAGAGTTCGAAGTAAAGGATATTTTTTTAATTGTGAAAAACTTTATATCTGGATAGTGGGAGGAGGTGGAGATGTGTTGTCTTCAGTCACAGTCGGATCATCACGATGTGCTGGTCAGAAGTGGTGAATTTGCCTCCAGGGTCAGACTCTCTTGTAAATCACTGTTCTGAAGCATCTGAGGGACACTCGGCACAAATGAACTGAACTGCTGCATGATGGGAACTTTGCGCTCCGTTGTAAGTTGGAGCAGCTGGAAAACTCGCAGGTTTCTTAGGTTTTACCCAAAGAGAAATTCAAGGTGAAGCGACGGCACTTTGAAGGAGATCCGACAGGAGCCACAGATGGTGCTCCACGTGCTCACGCATCAGGACTTCCAGACGGCTCCTGGTGTGGCGGGAGCGCCGGGATAGCGTCCAATTTTAAATCAGGTACTTTGCGATTGCGGCTCGTACGGTTGGTTTGTGGTTAAGCGGCTGCTGATGGGAGACAAGGGCAAGGAAATTACTTTTACCTACCTTAACTTTTCTGGAGTTCTGTACAACACAACATGAAAAGTGTTTCCTCCTGTTTCAGAGATTTAACGATATGGAGATCTAGCGATGAAAGTTTGAAAGAGGGAGTGGAAGGCACATGTGTGTGTGTGTGGGAAGCAGAGTATTATGGGAAGACAGGGGAGTGTGTGTGTTAATAAGACTGTCAGTCACAGCCGGATCTCATTAAGACGGAGGAGCTCGGCCTCATTCCTCATTAGTCTGGCTTAACTACTGTCTATACACCTACACACTCGCAGCAAGGAACACGCGGGGTGATGCATTTGTCGACACATGCTTGCAACCCTTTCAAACACTTCACACGTCGTCTCCAACGCAGGCACGCGTTCACATACAGTCCTCACCCGATACTAACAGCTACTCACACACGTGCACACACACACA